TGGAAACCACCCTTGTAGAACCACTCTTCACAAAACATAGTAATGCTTCCCGCTCAATATGACAAATGTGTGAAAATACCACATACAGCAACATATTTCCTCAGGACTGTGTTGCTTCTGATGACATTGTTGGGTAAGCATTATTTTATGCAGCAGTAAAGGAATGGTAAGAAGAAGGATAATACCATAAAGACCAGAAATGTAGAGATGCTGCTGTGATGCACTGCAGCTAGCTAACAGAGTGCCAGATTTGTACTGGGTGCATACCAAGCACATGACCAGCACCTTGTCAATTTGTGGCACCAGTTTTTGCAGTTCTTCCATGCATACGCCAACACAACAATATTCGGGCCATAGAAGGCAGCAATTCTAACTTAAATGCTAGGCAAGCAACACCTATAATATACTGCTGTGTGCCTACCCAACACCACTGTACAGTGGATGCAGAATTCCACAAATTACATTCAATTTCCCCCTCCCTGCCCCGTTATAATTCCTCTCTAAAAACAGTCTGTCAAGATTTCATACTTCTTGGCACACTTAGCGTCAAAACAGATATCACAATGAGCCCATCATTAGAAGTGGAGCTCACTTACACTGTTACATTCATTTGTTTATCCTAGCACTAAGCCTCGTGGTGCAGTTGTTAAAGTGAAGTACTGCAGCTCAGACTCTGCTCATGACTTGAATTCGATCCCAGGCTCAGGTTCAAAGTTGATTTGGAACCAATGTTTGGCAGTTCAGTTCCCCCACTGTGCAAGCTAGCCTGTATGGCCTTGGGCAAGGTGCACAGTTCCAAGATACCCCCAGAAAAAGAGAATAATAAACTACTTCTGAGTGCTCCACACCCAGAAAACCCTGAAAAGGCTCACCATAAGTGAGAACTGACTTGACAGCACATGATTATTATTTTAATGATTTAAACAGTTTGGCCCCTGGTACTCCCTCGGCAGACTGTGTTAGATTAGCATATGCCAAGCACCTAAATCACAAACCCAGATGCCATTTCTGTCCCCACATCTACTCGGGCAACACAATTACAGGCCCCAGCAATGTCACACAAAACATCAAGGGAACATTTACTTGATCCCCTGCTAATGTGATCTATGCTATCCTTTGCCCAAAATGCGCCTCAGTCTACATAGGACAAATGGGACAATCTCTGCATAAAAGGAATAATGGCCACAAATTAGAAGTTATACATGGCAATACACAGAAAACTGTTTCAGAACATTTCAATCTACCTGGACACTCTTTTACAGGATTTAAAAGTCACAATCCTGGGAAAAGAGCATTACAGAACAATACAGTACTTCAAAGGGAAAGAGCTAGGGTAAAATATATATGGATGCTGGGAACCCGTCTTAAGCGTTTAAATATCACTCAAGGGTTGTTAGGTCATTACCAAGTGTGCTTATGTCAACTCTGCTATTGTTATCCATAGCCTGATGTTCTTTTACCAACAAACTATTACTCTTTGTCCAGAACAAGGCTTCAAAGGGGAGGAAAATCACTAAAATGACTGAATATCAATCAGGGTTCTTAAGTAATTACCAAATGTGAAAGGCCACATGGGCACACAATTTGCAATTCATGTTTACTAACCACCCCTAGTCGCTTTGTCTTTTTTGATCCCCACCTGGTTATGGGGACCATATATAAATATATAAATAACCATATATAAATAACTGCTACCTAGTCTCTTATGCCTGAGGAAGTAGACTTAATCCATGAAAGCTCACATTAAAATAAAGCAGTTAACCTTTAAGGTGCCACAGCATTTTTATTTTGTTTCTTTTCTGTCAAATAAGGGAGGTGAATCTCAGTCTCTGGCAATAAAAAACAATGTTTCTCTTGTCTCCTCCCACCAAGATTCTTTTCTACAAATTGTGTGTTTCTATGGGAACTCTCACAAGATTTCTAAAAATGTTATGGTCACTTTTCTGGAAGAAGTGCCAAGCCATACAGATCGGACATCACCATACACATCTGGTGATGTCCAATGCCATCTTTTCTGCACAGACATCACCAGAAAGGGCATTTAGCTATGCAGAATCTGCCAATTTCCTGTGTAAAGCCAGATGGAAAATGGGACAAATGAAAGGAAACAAATATGGGGCCTTATTTCACAGGAAGCTGGGAAAGATCACTGGAGCAGCAGGCGGTCTCAGGCAAAAGTCTTGGCATGCCAGACCCAGAAAATAGCTGAGAACAAAACATTTTTTAAATATTCTTCACATCTCTACCTTACACTATGTAAAGTTTAAGATGTCATGGAACATTATAGAATAGAAAGAAAGAAGGACTAGGACACTGAAAAAAATCTTAGAAAAATGTTTTAAAATTACTAGAGATTTCTCATAATCAGAGGCCCAAAATTGCAGCTTGCTTAGTACAGTATTTACACAAATCTAGCATCAGGTGGAGAAGTGGTTTCTCTACTCCATAGGGGTTTTCCGTTTGTTCCCCACCCTTGTTTTTGTTTTTGGTGCTTTGCAAACATCGGCATGCCCTCAAGCCTGCTAATACTCCTGCTTACAATACATGGTGCCATTCTGGCTAGGTATGCGACTGCGTTCGCTCCCTGGAAACTGGAATGTATGTATTTTTATGATGGGGGAAAAACTCCATTAAAACACACCACCATGACATGGAGAATATTCTTTAGACCGTGCAAGAGTAGACATTTCAATGGTCCTGTGGGCCAAATCTTATCCCCCACCACCCACATGGGGGGGGGACTGCATACACCATAAAAATAATTAATAAGAAACAAGCAAACAAACCAAGAAAAAAAGCAAAATCAAAACTGGAAGTGTCCTTGTGTCTACTTTTTGAGGAAGATGGATTGACAGGGCATCCTCAGTCTGTTTTATAGGGAAATAACTATTCCTCAAAGTAAAAACATGTTTTGTTTTCCCCTCCCCATCGCCTTTTCTTCCTTTTTTTTTAATTCTAGAGGGCACGGGAGCGCCATCAGAATGTCCCATTCCTTGTTGTGAATTTTGCCGTCTCCTATGCCACTGCTCTCTGAGGGTGTTAAGGCACCCATATGCTGATATTGTCTTGAAGTATCAGAGCCAAAGGAATTGCCATCTGATTGCCAGGAGCGCCAGTGTGTGTGTTTTCTATTTCTTACCACTAATCTCTGCTTGCTCAAGAGGCTTTAAATAAACAAAGGCAGCATGGAGCACAGTGACCTACCTCCAAGCACTTCGCAGTCACTATCCATGCTGTCGTGCACCCCTGCAAAGATGTTGGCGATGGTGGTTTTGCCCACCCCTTGCTCCCCAATGAGTACCACCCGATAGATGTTATTTCCCGACTCCGAGGAGATGACAGAATCGGAAGACTCGGATGACCAGCTTCTTCGGCTGTACTCTTCGGGGCTGATCGTGTACCGTTTCTGTCGGTTGCACTCGTGGGGGTCTCTCTGGACCACCAAGTGCCTCCCGTCTGCTGGAATGCTCCAGCGCTGCTGTTGTGGTTGTAAGGCACTGCTACTCTGCCGCATCGTGACATTGTTCAGAGTCATGGCTTTGTTCCCACCCTGGTTAAAAAAACACAAGAATGAAATCACAAATGTAACATGTATTGTTAAACTATGGAGTGTTGCATACCTAATCCTGAAGATCCATCTTTTCAAGATGACCTTTTAAATCGTGTTGATAAATAATTGTTATGCTTACTTAAACAGTTTTTAATTGTTATGATGATTTTTTTTTTACTTTTCTTGTCCTGCTTGTTTTTAATTTGCTAATACTTTGTGTTTATTTAACCAAACTCCGGGAGGCAGTGGAAGACAGAAGGGCCTGGCATGCTTTGGTCCATTGGGGTCACAAAGAGTTGGCCACGACTTAAGGATGAAACAACAACATAATCTGGCTAATTAGACATGTTCCTCACATTAGACACTATCCACTGGTATTGCTAACTATGACAGTAGCAGACACCACCAAAAGGGATAAAAACCTCTGCTTATAAAGAGATACATCATTCTGAAGATTTGGGGCTATAATCACCATCCAGCATGACACCAGCCCTTAATATCCTGTGCCAGTCCTGCTTCACATCTGAACTAGCAACCACCTCTGGGCAATCAGAGTTCTCAAATGGTCTTCTGTTTTTTTAAATCTACAACCGCCTGAATCGCCTCTTGGCTTTTCTGGCTGGGGAATTCAAGAAGCCCCAAGAAGTCAAGAAAAGGTAACCTTTCCATTCTTTGTGCTCAGTTATCACAATGTTACGCTGCCTGGAAAAAGTCATCTGAAGCAACCAAGAAATCTGGCATCACATCCTAAAAAGCAAGGCTTTCTGCCTATTTCTAGACAGGTACTTTATTTCCAATGTGTGAAAAGAGCCACAATATTATTTAAATCGGGGGATTTCCCCTTCCATTTGTTTTTTCCCCCCCTATGGTTTTAGTTGCCAAGATTATACCTGAATCCTTCTGCCCCTTATGATCAGTTGCAAAATAAAGTCTATAACATGGAGGAGGGAGCACTGCAGATGAATAACTATATGATGCTTATTGGATAAGTGGGCCAATCAGCTTCAACAGCCCTAATTAAGCTTTGCCTAAAGATGGCTTTTAATTACACTCTCCAGGAAAGACCATTTGGTGTTGGTAGGAGGCAGTCAGCACTGATGTCTTTTGTGATGGCCAGCAACATTGGCACCTACCATTTTTAGGAAAGTTGCTTTGATGTTCTCCAGCTCTCGCCATGACAGGTATTTAGACATTTTGCTTATTCAAGCTTAAGCCTGAGCTTTCTCGGTTCACCTCTCATCCTTCTAGCTGATAAACATAGCATTTGCCAAAGAACAGACAGCACAGGGCTGTTTGCAAAATTCACTGCCGCAGAATTTTTTTGCAAGTCCAGCTGCCTCTCAAACTTTGCAATCAGAAAAGTTTTTGTTTTTTTATAGAATCACCTCAGCTCAGAAAAGTTCCTTTTTGGACTACAATTCCTAGCATCCCCAAGCCAGCATGTAGTCCAATGAGGAACTTTTCCGGAGTGTGCTGAAAACTTCACCAGGGCAATACTTCAGACCAATTTCAAAACAAATGTATGCAGCGAAACCTGCAAATTCCTCTCCAGGTTGTTTCAAACGCCAGACACTCAAAGCTGCAGGCAGAATCACAAACGTTGACCTTGTCTGTGATTTTTGCTGGGAGATGTACAAAGATTCAAGAAATGCTAGATGCCGCTATTCAGAACGTGACCACTCCTTTTGCTGTTGCTACACCAACTTGTTCAAACCAAGGATGTTTTTTGGACTCAATGTCTGTAGCACAACACATGCACACATTTATTAATCTACCATGTTTCTAAGACGATGCAAACAGAACAAAATGCTGTCATTCCTTTGATATAACACATCACACTTTGCTGATGCTTTGTACAGCTAAGAGTATTGTTACTTAGTTGTCTAACAAAGAAATAAAGTTAGGTCTGGTGCACATTTCCAACTGTCTTTAAAACTGCACATTTCCATGTTTACAAGTGCTAAAGAAATGCATCAAAATGAATGCTCCTTAAGCCAATATTACCTTTCTCACTGCCCGTTACAACCGACTTTCTCAGTCTGACTCCCTAGTTCTCAGAGAGAGTCCGATAGCAAACCAGCCTCCCGCAGTGAATCCTCTTTCTGTCCTGGGGCTGCCTCTCTAATTCGTTCTCAGCAAACCTGGTTTATATTAAGCCCATCTGATCGGAGACAGGGCTTTTCCGTGACGTCGTCGGCCTGTCCCTGCAACAGGCAGCCCCCAGCTGGACGGAAGCAAGCCGTGCAGAAGAAAGCAAGGAGGTGGGGGGGCGAGGGAGTTACCAGCGCGAGGAAAACTGTTCAGTAAAACAATGTAGACTTATGTCTTCTTGGTTATTACTCATAATGCTGCCAAAATGGGGGCAGAGATTGCTTGACAAGAGCGAAGCAGGAAAGTGAGAAAAACACTTTCGTAATTCCTTTCTGATCTGTGCTTAAAATGTTGTGGAAACGGGCAGCCCTTAGAAATCACTTTGGACTCATAAACACAGGAAATGTTGCAAACATCTGGATCGATTGAAAGGTCAGCTTCAGTTAAAAATCACACATGCCGCAGATGAATGGAAGGATGTTAGTGAAACTAATATATGCAGAACATCCCATCTTCATCACCAGTAAATCTCCCCCCATATACACACGTTATGGTGATAAGCTGTGCTAGTTCCAACTCCCCCCCCCCATACAGATGAAGGATAGATTTGCACTATATCTTTTCTCTGGCGCTGCTCCCAGACTCTGGAACCCCCCCCCCCCCGCACGCGCAGGAAACCAGGCAGACCCCATTTTTGCTGTCATGCCACAAGCAGGCAAGTACCTTCCTCTTCAGGCAAGCTTTCCCTTAGTTCAGTGGTCCCCAACCTTGGGCCTCCAGATGTTCTTGGACTTCAACTCCCACAAATCCTGGCCAGCAGAGGTGGTGGTGAAGGCTTCTGGGAGTCCAACAACAGCTGGAGGTCCAAGATTGGGGACCACTGCCTCATTTGACTGCCTACCTGAGTGAGGTTTTTTTTTTTTAAAAAAAATGGATTGTTGTGTTGGCGACCACTGCCTCAGTTGACTGCTTATCTGAGTGAGGTTTTTTTAAAAAATGGATTGTTGTGCCTTGTTGCCTTTTCCTGTGTTTTTGATGTTGATTTTATTTGCCGTGTGTTGTGTGGTATTTCTTTGATTGCTTTTAAATGTTTGAATAATTAATTTTTTTACTTTTAATTTTGTGTTTCTAATTATGTAAGTCTCCTTGGGTCCTTTTAAAGAAGAAAGGTGGGGTTAAAATATTATAAATAAATGCAGGCCCTAGCACATATGGAGGATATGTCTACATTATAGATTTAAATTAGCATCACAAGACATTCTCTCACAGTACGAGTTGAGCTTGGCAAAGGCACTTTTTCAGCTCAGTCAAGGATGATGAGAGTTGTAGTCTTAACAAATAAGTACACTGTGTTTCTGAGTGAACCTAAATGTCCACAACACAGAATTCTTAGCAGCTTTATCAAAGGATTCTTTGTGGGAAGACGTAATTTACAGTATACTGATACAAAACTGATATCCCTTTGTAGTGTAGATTTATTGAGAGAGTTAAAAACAACTAAAGCGTCTAATCCACATGTTAGCTGCCAGCAAATACCTATTATCCACATGCCACTGGTTGATCAGCTAGCTTAACTCTAACTTCAAGTAACACGAAGTTTGGTAAAAATTGCTTGCCAATTTTTAAAGGTAGATAAAACTTAAGGGACGTGGTGGCGCTGCGGGCTAAACCGCAGAAGCCTGTGCTGCAGGGTCAGAAGACCAAGCAGTCATAAGATTGAATACACGCGACGGAGCGAGCTCCCGTCGCTTTGTCCCAGCTCCCGCCAACCTAGCAGTTCGAAAGCATGCAAATGCGAGTAGATAAATAGGGACCACCTTGGTGGGAAGGTAACAGCGTTCTGTGTCTAAGTCGCACTGGCCATGTGACCACGGAAGATTGTCTTCGGACAAACGCTGGCTCTACGGCTTGGAAACGGGGATGAGCACCGCCCCCTAGAGTCAAACACGACTGGACAAAAATTGTCAAGGGGAACCTTTACCTTTACCTTAAAACTTATTCGGCCACTAGGATTTCACATACAGAGAGTAGCTTTCGACTCTGGTGGAGTCTTTATCAGGCTGGGCATTGTAGCGGGAGAGTAATACAGAGGGGAAAAAGAAGTTCTAAAACCCACGGCCCAATGTTCCTTGTTTAGCAAGTTTCAAAGTGAGGGCTGCAGAATCCACTGGGAGGGTAGTTTCTGGATATTATCTTTTGTGAAAATGCTCCAACCCTATTAGACCAACAACTGCTACTCACAAAGTGCCTCACTCACTACCACCACAACAACATATATCGATACACATGGGGTAGAGGAACTCTGAAATGTAACAAACCCCGTATTGGGAAGAGGGCGGTTCTGGACCACCACCAGCTATGTAAGGCTTAGCCTGATGAGGACTTGTGTGGAGCTGAAAGCTAGCTTCTGCATGTGAGGTTTTTGTGGTCTAATAAAGGTATCTGCTGGTTGGATAGCTCAATGGTTTAGGTATCTGACTGTGGAGCCAGAAGCTGGGAATTCAGTTCCCCACTCCGCCTCCTGGGAGAAGATGCCCCACCCCCAGAAAAAGGAAATGGTAAACCAATTCTGAGCATTCTATACTTGGGGAATCCAGGTAAGGGTTGGCTTAGGTTAGAAACAACTTGACGTCATGTGATCAGGATCCACACTGTGGAGCAGTGAATAGAGCGATGAAATAGGACTCTGGAAAACGGGTCAAATCCCCACCTGGCCATGAAAACTTACTGGAGGCATTGAACTCCTTAAATATCTCACTTACCTTGAAAGCCCTATTAGAGTTACTATATGTCGGTTGTGACTTGACAGCACAGAACACACACACATACACACACACAATATAAAGGTAACATTCACTCATGTCTTTGGATTGTGTACAAGCACCACAGAGCTTTTTCCCCCCTTGCTGGCAGAAGTTCTATATGATGTGAAGAAGAAGGTAAAAGTAAATCTGTAGCTGAACAAAGCTGAACACCAATCTGTTAGTGCCGGAAACAGGAAAAAAGGAGCCATGCTCACTAGAGTATTCTGCATTTTTTTAAAAAAATACACTTATTGATTCTAATTCCTAATTAGGGTCCCAAGTCAGCTGTATCCCATGTTCTAGGATTCAGGGCCAAATCCTAAACAAATGAGTGTACTCCTTGTGACATCACAGAGGTGAGGCAGGCAGTGGTTCACAAGGACGGATATGTTTCCTGACTTCTAGCTATGGAAATAGGTGGTGGGAAATCTGGGCAAATGGGCCAGAATCTGCGTAACTACAGCTCAGGGAGTCTGAAAAACCTTGAAGATTGGTCTGGGTGCAACACAACATCATTATTTAGAGCTATACTTCAGTGGTTTAGAAACCTGGCTGATCCATTGGGTCTCTTCCAGCTCTACAGTTGTTGTTGCTGTTCAAAAATATCAAGCACAGTGAGTCAAAATTATAAAAACATTGACTGGCATTCCATAACAGATACAAATTTTAACCAAAAACCTGAGTATCTGATAAATACTAACGTAATATATATGCTCTGGCTAATATTGCCATTTTTAATAGCTCTGATGAGGTTATTTCTGGAATCTCCCTGGTCCGCTTCCGTTACTGGTGGGTTCTTTGGAATGTTGACATCATGCATGCACAGTAGATGTACAAAGAACTTTGCAGTAAGCTGGTGAGCCAAGGTACCAGGTAAGGAAGGCTTTATAAAACACAAAATATCAAAATTCTTCTTCTTCCACCAGCACTGTGATTTATCTTTTACCCAGGGACCCAGAAAGAGATAGCGGTCCCTTGAGACTTCACCTCTCATCCAAGTAATTCTTACCGATCCATTCAAAAGCACAAAAGATAAGCTACAAATGCATCATCCTGATCCCAAAAATGTATTTGATTTTAAAAAAATACACACACATTTTCTATTGCTGCAAACATACTTTTGCTACAAATCCTATTACTTGCTTTCATACCCAACTAAGCAGTTGCATTTCTCATTTCTCAGCATTGCTGGTGCGAACAGCAAACCAAAGGGTCAAGCGTAAAAATCAGAAGTCAAGTACTAAAAATTTAGCTTAATGAACAGAATATGGAAGCAAGATCAAATTAGCCTCCTTCCTGTACTCATTCCAGGAACCGAAGTTGCTGTCATCGTCATTTCTTTGGCAGCTACTTCGTTTAACTGAACACAGACACTGCCCTAAGGTAGGATGTTCCCGAGAGGACTCTTGGTTCTTTAGCTCACTTTGTACCTGGCTTTTCTTTTGACTGTATGGGTAGTTGTTCAACTGCCTGGAAACCACATGGCTGGCTGGAGTGCTTTGCTCGGTAGTTTGTGTTCCTTTGGCTGTCCTTTGATGGCTTCCAGCTTTTTTCTAGTTCTAAACAGGAGTTATCACACATACAAACACACCTTTTTCCATCAGGAGAGCCAAGACATTTATAGCTAACTGTTTGGGTCACTGTCAGGAGCCTTCAGAGTTAGAGTGGAGTAAGGAGAAGCAAGTCTGGATGAAAGGGTTCTTGCAATTTCTCTCATCTTAGCATGGGGGAAGGGCAAACGGTGCGGCACTCCCAACTCTGCTTCCAATCCTTTGCCACTGCTTTGTTCCTCTTCCCCCAACCCTATTGCAGCAACACTGATCACCTGAATCATCTGCTTCTGGCCAGATGTTGTGTCCCAAGAAGATAACTTTTCCAAGGTCTGTGAACAGAAAAGTGGAGGCATGGGGGAAGAGGGTGAAAGATGACAGAAACTATCTAATTATCTAGTCAAACATGTGTTAGCCAATCTGTTGGGCCTTCTGATTGGCTTTCTTTGCAGAGAGAACACTCTAATTGCAGTGGCAACAGAGGAGAGAGACAGAAAGCTTTCTCATCCTGTGCCATCTATGCATGACATATTGCATCCTGTGCCATCTGCGCATTGGCATCAATGGCTGCACTGAACCAGCTTATGTAGGAGGAGCTGCAGGACTGAAGCCAGCTGCTCACACATAGATTGGCTTCTTTAGTGTATCTGTCCAGATTTAGCACCTTCAGTGAGCCATGGTAAAGTGGAGATGAAAA